AATAAGGCAGTTTTTTTTTTTTTTAGTTTGTTAATTACTACAAATGAAGACTATAAAAATTTTAGCACTAAAATTATCTTTACTGATAACTTCTTTCCTCGTTTTTTGTTATAATAATTTTTAAAATTAAAGTTTAATGCTAAAAATTTGAATGAATTGATTGTTTTAGCTTTTATAAGTGGATGAGATTTTTGGATTAATTTCATCACTTCGAACAACAGTTGTATTACAAATGGAAAAAAAAGATAAGTGTTGAATTTAAGAAAAGGTGCATTAATTAAGTCATTTAACATTCTCATTTGACGCGGAACATACAAATAAAATATTAACGATTCAGTTTCTGCTTTTTCATTCTTCTTTTTTTTTCTAGCGAATTAAATTGAATGTACTTAAGATGGCAAGAGATATTCAAAGGCTTCATTTTGACTGGTAAATTGCAGTTTTTACATTCTTAAAAATAAACAACGTCATCTATCTCAATCATGTTTGAGTGTTTAAAAAAAAAAAGAAATTTCTAAATTTCTTTTCACACTTTTTTTGAAATATGCATGTTCATTTTCTGAAATATGTATTAATACCACTAATGAAAAATAAAAAAATTATCTATATGCTTTTGATAATTTATAACAATCTATAAATTATAAAACTTTAAACTATTTAAATTTATGTAGAAAAAAAGAAATCGAAGATTTCTGGATGTTCAAGCTTTTTTCATCCATAAAAATTAAGTAAAAATATGCATTTTTAAAGTATCACTAGGAGATCTATCATTATGACAATAAATAAATTGAAAAACAAAAACAATTAAATTACATTTTAAATAATTAAATTATATTTGTTTTTAATAGAATATGAAAAGAAATGCATTTCAATAAATACTATTAACAGAAAAAGTTAAAATAAAAAAGAAACTTTATGGTATATTGATCAAAATTGCAGTAGTGATCAATTACAATGACAAATTCATTGATAATACTTGATAGATAAAAATAGTTATACATCAAACAGTAAAAAATACCTCACATTTTGATATTCTGAAATTTTTTCTTGAAGTATTATTCAGGATAATTAGACATTTTTGTTTTTTTTTTTTGTGAACAAGGATGATACGAGTTATCGCACATAATTATTATATCTATTAATGTGATAGCCAACATACTACTTTGTGTATTCAGTGGAGTAATATCTTATTGGACGATTTCCTCAGGCTTTTAAAAAATGTATGACAAAACAGCTATCAAAAATTTCTGGTAAAATTATTGTAAATTAATGATCTTATTAATTTTTGTAATTTTTCTTTTGAAGAAGTTCAACTATTATTCATTCCAATAAATATTTTAGTTCATTTTTGATGTTACGCTTTTTTTTGTTTTGGAAATAAAAAAATTTATAACACACACACACATGACATTTATCATTTTATTTTACATAATCCAATAAAAAAAATTTTTAATTTAGTCAAATTGCAAAACAAAAATTATAAATTGATGATTTACAAATAAGGTGATTTTTTTACTACAGCACTAACAATTATTATTAACTCCCTATACTTGGCTTCAGGTAAATATTAACAAGTTCTAAGCAATTCGAATATTAACTAATTGTAATTGATTTCAAAAAGTAATAGTGATATATCTTCTCGCTTTTTTTTGCTGATAAACATCCAAAATCCATCAGTGAAAACATTCTGCATGACTTAATTAGATGACAGAATTTCATTAAAAAAATTCAATGCTTTAAAGAAGAAATACTATTTATAAGATAGATATTTGCAATATTCTGCAACCATTATTAGCATTTCCAATCGATGATTTCTTATTGTTTTGAAAAGCCTAATTTTTAAATATTACTTTAAGCGAAAATATTCGTCAATTCTTACTGTAATATTGAAAATTTAACTTTTAAATTAAGAAATGTTCATTTTAAACAAAAGTATTTTATCTTCCAGCGGATATTTTTCAGTTTTGACATTTTGTTTCTTAAGCAATTTTTTTCACTTTTGTTACTTTGGAAGAAATTTAGTACAATTCTTTATCCTGTCCATGGCAACGATAAGAAAGCATATCGACCAGGGAAAAGAATTGAAGTAAAATAGTTTATTAAAGTTTTCTTCATTTTAGCTTTGTCTTTTGGAAAATAATTTCGCAATCACTATCGAATTTATGATCATACAATTTTCTAAAATCCGTTTTCTTCCTTTCTGTTTTTTTTTTACCATTAATAATTTCGAGTTTATTTGTATCAAGCATAATAATTTGGACTAGAAAATTTATGATGTCATCTATGTCAAATTTTGAGAAGAATTAATGATGTTGATTATTGACTATTTTTAAAAATGTAAGAGTTTGCCACTTCTTATATAACTTGGCCAATAAGATTTCTCTCATAAGATTGTGGATTGAGAGAAAATATCAGAGATCAATGACATCATCAATTTACTATAATTTATTCTGTTAAATATTATAGACTTGGAAATTCCAATAATTTGAAAGTAATTGGTTTTGTAAGATTTTTTCAAGTGCAACATAATTATAAATATGCTACTTGTAATTCTCATTTCCTTTCAGTCTGAGCGGTTTTGGTCAGCATTAATTGCAGTGTCAAATTGCAGTCAAATTATATTATTTAAAAATTTGAAATTTTTCTAAATTCAATAATAAATACTTATGTTAAATTTTTTTATCAAAAAAAAACTAGTTATTTTTGATCTGATTGATAGGATGGAAGTAATGCACAAAGTTAAAAGTTTTTTTTTTTCAAAACATACAATTTTAAGTTTGTTTGAGGAATTAAACACAGACCAAAATTTCATTTTCATAGTATTAATAAAAATTTTTGCACATAAGATGCATTTGTAAATAATACCTTTGGCATGTCAAATTTCTCTGTCATTATCAGGCGAATCATCTAATTATCCGTTTGCAGCAATCATCTATCTTCCTCGTTACAGGTAACACAATTGAGGAGATAGTACAGTGGTAGAAAGCTCGAATTTAATTCAAAATTTGATATTCAATAATTAGCCATATAATTATTTTTAGAGAAATTTCATTATGCATTTATAACTTTCTGTTTTCAACTCGTTTTTTCCTTCCTCTCTCTCTAACACTATCAACTTCTTTTGCTTTTTGTCGAATTTATGATTTAGTTCAATTTTTTTGTCCACTATTTTGATTGTATTGTATCTAACCAGCAAATGATCTCATGAAAAATAATAGAAATAGTGATCAGAACATGGAACAATACGGAATGATGCGAAATTATGAAAAATAAAGTTTACACAGTAAACGTATACACGTTTGCTAAATTCGAAAGTAATAACAATTTAAATAGTGTATTACTGTTTGAAAAAAAAGCTTAAAATCTTGAATTGATTGCAAATAATAGGAGGAAAATGGGAGATTCTTGAGATTAAATATTCATTGCAATCATGCAATTCAAACATTATTTAACATCTCATCCTTTTATTAAATATTTTCAATATCATTAAGTGAATGAAAAGTTTAATTATTTGAAAAAATTATATAGCTTCATATACACTTATAATGATTTCATATTGAGAAGTAATCCTTCAAAATTTTTTCTTTTAAGATAATTGAAATACTGATTGCGACATGATTACATTATTTAAAGAGCAGTAAAACATACATTTTAAGTAAAATTAATTGTATGTATTATGAAATTCTCTCGCGAATATAGCTTCTTTCATATTCATAACTAGCAACAAATACTTATTTGATCTCATTTTAAATTATCATTAAGGAAAATTTCAGTACAGAAGAAAGAAGCATATTTAATTAGAATAAAACACTATCCTGTTAATTATTCATGAATGCTAGAACAGGAATGTAAAAGCGAAACTGCCATGTTTGGCAAAATATAGATCACTTCAAGCTAGCAATTTCCGCAGTTTCCGGTTGCATCAGTTGATGTCTGACATTAAATTTCTAAAATTGAATCAAAATTTACAACAATTCATTCAATCTATCAAATTGTCCATGCTTTCCTTACTGATGCATTGCTTGAATTTTCATATTCCATTATGACTGTGTTCCAAAATTCATATTTTGAAATTTAGAAAGATAGAATTTGTAAGAATAAAATTGAGGAGAAGAAATAAGATTTTAACATAGCTTTAATAAATTTTTAATTGATATTTTATTTCATAAAACACAACCCTCACTTCAATTGATTGTCAGAAAAAAGAAAAGGAGAAGGAGAGAATGTCCATCTATGCTAAGTTTATTAGTATTGTTTACTGTCTCATAAATATATGAAGATTTTGATAACTTCAAAATTTTCACAATTATTTGATTACCATACATTTTACTAAAGAGTACACACGTATATGCATGTGATATGATCAAGTCTTTTCACTCTTTTTAAGCCTTATTAATATTTATATAAACTCATTCACTCCTCTCTTTTCCATAATTTTCAAGTTCTTCCTTGTTTTTTGCTTTCTTTTTTTTTCTCGTTTTTTTCCTCTCTCAAAAATTCCCTCGAGGCAATTAACTCTTCAAACCAATCGTCAGTATATCTTTCATTTAATTTTCATGATTTGCTCATTAAAATTTTTATTTCGATCTTGCACTAAATTTTTTTTTCGACTTCTAAAGATTTTCATTTAGAAGAGAAAATATTATTAGAATAATTATGTTAAATAATAATATCATTTATGAATCGAATAGTATCACAATGTAAAATTTTCATTCGTTATTATGATATGATTTTAATTTTCGTCCTGTAATTCACGTGTGCTTTTTTTTGTTTTATTTTTTATTTTTTTCTATTATTGATAAGGTGCATTTGGAAAATATGAAAATTTGTTGCAATTTTAAAGTAACATATCAAATTTGCATATGCACCTAAAATTGAAAATTGTTATATATTCTAATGCTAATTTATTCACGACTACCAATCATAATACAATTTATTTACAGACGAAAAAAATAAAATGCAATTAAAGAAAGATCGAAAAAGTGAGAAAAAAATTTAGAATGATTGAAGAATTGTTCGTTTCGAACGGAATGGCAAATGCTATAGGAGGAATTTATATATTCATTGGAATTACTGGTTCATTATGCAATATGGCAACATTGCTAATGATTACATGTTATCGGATATATCGTTTATCAGCCTATACCATTATGGCAAATCTTGCATTAGCTGATGCTATAATGCTCATTATTGCTGGTCTTGTTTGTGGCCTCAATATTATTCAAGTGTCTTTTTTCAATTACAACAATACTGCTAATAATTCTATTGAACTTCTAAATAGCAGTAAATCAATTTTAAGCCCGAAATTTAGCAAACTTTTTGATCATAACAATACAAATCCAATGATTCATTTTCAAACTTTAAAAATGAATGAAATTAAAAGTGAATTGTACAATTTAAACAGAAGTCAATTCAATACAATTCTGAAAGATTTGCATTTTTCTATATTTTTGCTATCATTTCTTGAAATAGCTGCTTGGACGGCAGGAATAATAAGTTACGCATTATTGGGTATCAATCGTTGTGTTGCTATTTGCTTCTATCGTACACGTGCTAAATCAATCAATCGTGTGTCATTTGCACTTCTTGGCTCTACAATAACATGGCTTATTGGCATTGTTGCAGGTTCATCTCTTTCACTATATTTCAATAATGATTTCACATCAATATTAAGCGTTATATCAAACGTCTTGAATTTCATTCATAAATCAGGACAAAAAAAAGGAAGATGAGATAGACTATTATCGATGCAAATAATTATTTATCAGAAATTTCAAAATGATTTTTAAAAGAGCAAGCAAGGAAATTATAAAGAATTTTCGTTTATTTTGCAATTCTCAGGTAATGTAATTTCGTGTGACATTTTAATAAGATAATATACAATGATTTATTGCTGGAAAATAATGCTAAATTTTTTTCTTTCATAATAATCATTTTTATTTTCTGATCATTGATTTTTGTCTCACTTTTACTTTGTATGATATGAAACTAAATGAAATTCACAGTTAGCTTCGATTTCTTTACTCGTACTATTTACTCTTCAAATAATAATTCAGTTTTTCTTTTTAAGCTTATATTGGAACAGTGCCTGTACCATTGATGGGTATGCGAGTTGATATGTGGACAGTGAGTTTTTTGAGTACAGCTGGAAAAAGGCCGAGTATATTTTACTTTTCTTTTGCAAAAATATTTGGGAAAAAATTCATTAAAATTTTAGCAAAAATAACCTCATAAAGGTTGTAAGAATTGCAATTTTGTTATTTGATTATAATTAAAATTTTCAAATTTTAATAAAATATTTGCCTGAAACAAAATTAAAATTATAGATATCTCCTTATTAAAAATTATTTCTATGCTATTTAGGAGAAAAAAAAAATAAGAGAAACCAGAATTTATCTCTAAAATGTAGCCATTTATAGCAATGTTTATGGTACTTGCATCATCATTCAATTTTGCTAGCATATTAACACAATGGTCGTGCTCTTTAATGGTACTTATAAAAATATACAAAGTTCGACGCAAAATTAATTGCAATAAGTTAAATATTGGTAGTGCTAAAAGATTTAAAAAACAGGTAGGCTGTTTTTATTTTGATTGATGGAAGAAAAAAAAGGCAAGCGTTTTATTGGACTATAAAGATTAATATGATTTATAAAATGTGTGGTTGATTGCAATTGAATTTAACATAAATAAAACCTTTTCTTTTTCTTTTTCCAGGCTCGTTTAACATTTCAATTCTTTTATCCATCCCTCATTTGCACTATTTCATCGATTATATTCTTTGCTAAGCCATTCATGGCTGATATATTAACCAGTTGGCAGTTTGTTTTTCTACATTTGGTAAGCTAATTTTGTAAAATCAAATGAAGTCTTTCTTTTTGTTAATAGCCTTTTTTTATGGAATTTAATTTGTGATAATAATTGTAATTAATATTGAACAAAAATCTTATACAATTTATTTTGTCTAATCTGCTTCAATCGACTGGTTTGAAACAGTTAGTCGATATTCAGACTTACTTGAAAATCATTGTATCACTCATGAAGTGACAAAATTTCTCACAACAGCAATATCTCAACTTCAAGTACTAAACTTTATCATTTATTAATTGAAGTTATGTAAATTGCAATGTAATGTCAATTTGTAGTAGTAGTTGAAAAAGAATTTCTTTAGTTTATTAGATTTATTGCTGTGCAAGTAAGATATTTATAGGTTTGGCTGACTAATCATATGTGTAATCCATTTATCTATGCATATTTCAATGAACGTATGCGTTTAACCTATAGTCAATGGTTGACATGCACACCTTTACGAAAGTGTATCCGTAAATTCGAGAGGCAGTATTCGCGAAAACATGGCGAATCTCTACGAGTATCAAAGTAGGATCTTAACAAAATTGAAATCACAATAATCGTAATAATTGGATGATTTTTAGCTGATCAATTTCAAAGAACATCAACAAAGAAGATGATGAGAAATAATTGTTGTGGAATAGAATTCTTCAATGTGAAAGAAAAATGGATTTATTTTGATCTAGATTTGAATAAAGTTTGGGTAGTAGAAATAAGAAGGAAGTTGAATTAATGATCCAAACAGAAATAGATAACTGAACTGAACTGCAGTATGATATGTTGTAGACGATCAAATGTAGCTGCATCAATAACAAGAAATTCACATTGGCGTAGTCGAAGCAATCGGAATGATAATTTTGTACGATCAAGCTTGCAAATGCAAAGTCGTGATTTTGAACAATTTTGTGAAGTGATGATGAGTGTGAATACAGCAAATGAAAGCAGCGAAGGATGGACAGAAAGTAGTAGCGATACGGAAGCGGAACCGATTACTGCAGCACCATCACAAATATCATCACGACGTAGCAATAATATTCATTCTGGAAAAGGTCTGGAATTGCATTCGCTTGTTTTTGATTTGGGACGTCAAACGGTGGAACATTGGGCTAATTTTGCTAAGAAAGCAAGCCTTTGATCTACATATTCTTTTTCATACAGTATATTTTTTTCGGATATGTAATTTCCGGTTATTCGCAATATTCTAAAAATATATTCGGGATATGTTATTTTTTAACTATAAACTGATTATTGAGATGTAATATGACTATACTATAGAATGGTAAGAAAAGATGAAGAATAGTCGACAAACAGTGCCTTATTGTTAAGCACATTGATCTCTTTGTCATATTCATTTTTATTGCTATCTATTTCAATATGCACAGCTTACATAAAATTGTGTTCATTGAATCAAAGTTTAATTTGTCGAATAATAAAAATTGTACTTGGAAAAAAATCATCGAATAAAATTTAATCCATCAAATCATTTTTTTAACAGTTTACTGTAATCTGATGGGATGCTCAGTTTCACGCTTGTTGCACAGTATGGCGGATATATTTAAATTTCAAATAGTCATAATTGTCGTTTGAACGGAAAACTATTGTTATACGAGGTGGGCCAATTCGGGATTTCTGATGTGTTTGGGCAATGCTAGAATGAACATGAGGTTGTCGTGCAAAGGATTTATTATAATCGATAGTATTTGCGTGAATGATAATTCGTGAAGTAAAATTTTTTAATGTAAACAGAAACTATTTAAGAGACTTCCAATTGTCTATCTGGTGAGGAAAGAAATTTCTAGATTGTAAAAAAACCGCATATCATTATCAATAATTGCTGTAGCTGAGAAGTTGCAAATTTCATCCTTGCGACTTGGATATTACCGGATTACGTAGCTGTACGATTTAAAAAAAACATATATATATCCGATTAGTTCAACCATATGAAGCAGCTAATCATCGCATATTGAAGGTCGACAAAATTCTACTCTTCTATGAACAGGGAACAGATCGAAATCACATAGTAATTATTGATGCCAGATTCATTTTTTCTGTAAACAGTTTTCCGCTCTTTTATTCAAAATATAATTTTTTGATTTAAAAAGTAATAAGAAGCTGAAGTTAAATACAATTGGTAACAATATGTTCCTTTTTTTTTGCAGTGCAGGAACTTTCTGATAAAGATTCTGGTAAAGAATCTGATGATTCCAATGAAGATCGATGGAGAAGACGTCAATTCAGTACGTTTCAAAAATATCCACCTAACTTGTAAAGACCCCATTCTTACACTTTGTATGTGTGTGTGTCTGTACGTGCACATTCCTTTTCTTAGACTTATTCTGCTCAATTATTGCCTTTTCACGGTTTGGTTTTTATTTGATATATGTTCAGGATATTCGTAGATTATACGTGGGATACGGTTGCGTATGCATTTGGATCAGTTTGCTTACTGGTTTAATGCTCTTCATCATATGAACTTTGATAACAATGATGTTTGAACTAAAATGTTGTTGCCTACAAACAGTCAAAAACTACTATATTTTTTTGAAAAGCATTGAAGTTGATGTTTTATTGCTACCGATATTAGAATTCCTAAAAATTTTCAGTTTTCATTGCACAAGCATTATTATTTATTTTGCACAAAATCATGTATTTGGTCCATTTTCAGGTGTTAGAAAACGTGAATGCTTCATTTGTGAGAAGGTCGACATATCTCAATATACGGAATTCGCTCGTCGCTCTTCAACTAGCGTTGAAGGTAATTGTAATGACGAGAATGCAGCCACTATTGACGCGAATGTTTCTACTTTCGGTCATAATAAAATTAGAAGATGCAGTTTCCCATCATGTACTTTGCGATTTCACGAAAACTGCTTTTTACTTTTTACAGAAGGTCCTTATTCAAATGATCCAAGTTTCTTACTACGAGTCCTTTATTTATTGGAATTAATTGCTACCATTCCGCTGACAACTTTGTATTTATGTACTGATAAGCACAAGAAATTTTCAGGTGATTTTTTGCCAAGAATTCATATATTGGATAGACATGGTGATCTCTGTATTAATTTAAAAGATAGTAAAAAGTGGATATGTCCACAACATGAATGCAATTTTTGTCAGCAGGAGCTTTTGCGAACACGGGCTTTTCAAGGTAATCGTTTTTGGCAGCATTTTGCTATGGAACAACAATTTGTTGACTTTTAAAATCTAAATTTTTTTTTCTTTCGGACTATGAACTCAACATGTTAGAAATACTATAAAATGAATGAAAATCAGTCGCTCTTCTTGTCGATGTTCAAAGAGATAGTCTGAGATTAAGCAGTCAACAAACTTGTATTTATGTCCAGCTGGAACTGACAGATTGTATATCTTCCCGGAGAGGCCTATAATAATTCAATATTAAATTTCAGGGAAATTTATACGGTGCGTAAAATGTGTATTCGCTTGGCATCGTTCATGCGTCATAGTTGGTTCGCTGCATATAAATCGAAAACATGATCGCTATGTACTTTGTCCAAGACATAGTACTATGAAACGTACATCAAAACGAAATATTCCTTACTGCATCAAATGTGAAAATTCCTTCGGTAAATTTTACTATAAAGAAGAAGAAAACAGTGAAGAATAATCCTAATTTCCGAGGCATGAGCTGCCAATTATACCAAGCATTTCAGATTTATGGATTCTCACATTCTTTTGCAGAAAATGAATCACAGAAAATGGTGTGCGATTCTTGCATACGTTCTTTTTGCCACAACTGCATTACTAAACAAAATAAAATGAAAGAAACAGAAGCTGGAAATAGTGCATTTTCATGTGATTTCTGTCATTGCTTCGACTTTCCGAGAATTGGTGACTACGTCCTGGCAACTTACAAATCTAAGTAAAAGCCGTCATTTTTTCCCTGAAATAATGGTTTAATATTTTTTGCGTTCGCAAAACTTATACTAAAAATTTATATGAGAAGTATTTGGGAATATTTCGTTGACAATTCGAAAAGTAGATTTTTTTTAGCTTTATAGGCATAAAAAAGGTAAAATCATGAATTTTAATAAAATAAGAATTTATATCCGATACACTTTTATATGACTGATGTTTTGTTACAGCATGTTGAACAGTTTAGTAAAGAGATTTATATAAGGATTTATTTTTCAGCTTTTGGCCTGCAAGAGCTCTCCATGCTGATTTATTACCAACACCATTGTATTCTATGAATAATTTGACTGAAAAACTTCATGAGGTATTGTTGATATTTTTTTATCATTATGTCGCGAAAGGGAAAGCTGATTATATTCTTCACACTTTGTGAAAGTCTAAATTTTTCTCTAAATCTGTCGTGTAGCTAATTTATTTTAGCCAGGCTATGTACTTATACAGTGGATTGAAGGATTGGATATTCCAAATTATGATGTCGTAACATGTAGAGATGTGGTTCCACTTCCAAAAACATTGGATTGTTCATTTTGGAAGCGTATGAAGACACATGCAAAGATTTACGCAGGTTTTTTTTTTCTTTAAAATTGCTTTATGTGTGCGCTATGTAATGGTGCCACAGATTTGTAGAAATAATGCTACATGATCAGAATAAAACTTTGATTGAGTTATGCGTAGCAGGAGATAACTTACTAACACCTCATGTATTATCCAACTTAAAAGCCTGGAGAAATCTCGTTGTAGATTTTTTTCTTTTTTTTTTCTCCTCGACTATAAAATTTTTGCCCCATGGTTGTGTTGTGGAAAATGTTGATTAGTAAGTGAAATTTTAGCTGTTAAAGCTATATACGCTAATTCGAAAGCAGCATTTGGTATCAGACGTCCAATTCCACGAGAAGTTAAGGTAGAAACATTACCAAAATATACGAGAATCAAGGTGCCTTTTAAATGAAATATTTATTTCTAGATTCTGTACATTACAATGTTTCGCCATTTTATGTCTCATCAGTTAGTTGCAAATAATTATTCAGAGACTAAAAAATTGCTTTTAGAAAACAACTTGTCAATGGGGTAGTTAAAGAATGGGAAGGATAATTAAAATGAACTCACAATTTTTTTCAAACTGTCAGCTTACAAGAGAGGTGTATTTCCAAACTGTCAGCTTACAAGAGAGGTGTATTTCCAAACTGTCAGCTTACAAGAGAGGTGTAATTGTATCATCAATTTCAGACAAATATAAATATGCGGCTAGCAAGAGCTCCATCTGATATAATCGAATTGGGTTACTGTGATTGCGAACTTATCAATGGAATGCGTTGTACTGTTGCCCATAATTGCTTGAATCGGATCATGATGACAGAATGTCCTGAGGTTATTCCCTAGTCAAACCTTTTCATTAAGTCTTTATCACTGTTGATTCTGCTGCACATTAAATAGCGTTGTAAATACTTTGAAGTTTTGCAAAAAAAAAAAAAGTTTTATAGGATTGTGATGCAAGGTATTTCGAAAGGCAGAATGCACATGTAGGCGGTACAAAGCGACAGATTTTGAAAAGAACTGCGAACTTGCTTGCTAGTGAAAATTCCTTTCTATCGTCGTCACAACGGTTGTGTACGAACAATTTTTTGCGACATTATGATATCAGTAATGATAATTTATATATGGAGGAAAAACCAACTAAGTTGAAAGGTTTTGGTGTCTTCGCGAAATGTGATATAGATAAAGTAAGGCATCAAATAATATGGTTACGTTCTTAATTTAATTTTTAGGCATCAGTGAATAATTCAAGAATGGAGTGGTCATATATCTTATTGACCGAAATGGATTCTTACTGTTTTATTTTAACAAATAATTAGATCGAGGAAAAGGAACACCAGATTTCTTTTTTTTGTGGCTATTTAAATCCATTTTTAATCTTGCATTTTTTTTTGAATATTAGCTACATATGAAATGTGAAGAAGCGAAGCCATCGTTAATGAAATATTTTTTAGAATACTGATTTGACTGAATACGTCGGACATGTGATGACAAAAGAGGAATATTTGAACAAATTGCGGTTTCGTTGTTTATTTAATGATTTGGAAGCGTCATATTTTGGGATACAGTTGACAAATGATTTTTACGTGGATGCACGAAATTATGGCAATATTGCTCGGTCATTCAACCATTCATGTGAACCGAACACTAAAGTCGATGCTGTAGTGGTGTGTACCTCCGTTCAATATCTATATTCTTTTACTGCTTAATTTGTTATCAGAGTTCTTATTAGATTATTTCTTTACAGGTTGATGGAATTTACAGGCTCAAAATTTCAACAATTAAGAATATCAAACAAGGTAGTCCATAAATTAATCGAGCCAGTAAGATTTTGTATATTTGATCATTGCATTTTTTATTACTGACTTTTAGGTGAGGAGTTAACCTTTGATTATGATACGGAAATTATTGAGGATCTTGTGGGCATGGAATGCTTCTGTGGTTCGACAAACTGTCGACGCACAATCGGGGTAATTTGCTTTTTAGTGAGCTTTATTTCTTTTTCCTTTTCCTTACACGTTCGCTGTATAATCAGAATTAAATTTTTAGAAGAAAAAAGCTGCAAACGTGAAGTGTTGCTCTGTATTGTACGAACACACCAATAATAATAACGGAGGAAATGCTCAGTCGGAAACAACCGGATCCGAAAGTTTCACTGGGGTAACGTTTCTCATGGAAGAAAGTTCTCAATTTTTGAATTCATCATAAATCTACTTATAGATATGTGAAAATAACGATCATTTCGGGCAAGAGTACGTACAAAAGAAGCGAAGGAAATATGTCAACGAAAATAAAGGTACAATAAAAGATCAATCTTGTAAAATTTCTAGACTTTTTATTTGATCTTTTCATAATTTAAATACTTTTGGGAGATTTCTGGACAGTTAATGTAGTGACTTCCGCATTATTTTGAAAAGATCGTACGGCAAATATTTTTGCTTATTCACATATTTGTTTCGAATAAAATAGATTAAGCTGTTTTGCTATGGATTTTGCAGGTTCTGTGAGGATGAAAAGCAATAGTGAAAAGCAGCAACCACGGAGATTACAAATATGTAAATTTTGATAATTTTAACCCAGAGATTTTTATCATAGCTTTTTATTAGTTTCTATAAAATCATATAAATAACTTGCAGGTCTTTCTGGAGGGATCCCTCAAAATGAAGAAAATATTAGAAGTGAGGCTGAAAAGCATTTGCGCAACGTTTTCGTGGACGTTGTCAAAGGAACAGCAGTTGATTAATTCAGAAGATGGAAATTCTATTGCAGAGCAACTGGAACAAGAAGAAGGTGAGTATAGACATAAATGCTTATGGACTGCTAAAACTATTAAACGCTGGATTTAATTTGTCTTTTCACGTTAACAAGACTCCCTCGAATGATTTCCTGGATTCTTGCTTGGCTTTATTGAAAATTATTCACTTTAACAAAATTTGTTAAGACTCTGTGTCCATAAATAATGATGAACTTCTATGGCTACTGCTGCGCAGATATGAATTGATAAGAAAGATGGGAATAAAACGATCCATGACTAATCAACTAGATATTTGACTTCCTAAATGTGTACGTGTTCATGTATTTTATGACGTCACTATTTTGTTGTATGTAAAATCATTTGTATTGTGATCATGAGTGTTTTATTTTGGTCTTCAGGTTTCCTGCTAGAATTATTGCTGTGTTTTAATGTACCACGCGATTACTGAATTTCTGCAGATTGACTAATCCTAGAATTGAATAAATATTGCTTTGAACATGAGTCAACACGGTTAATGAAAAATCCCTTATTTCTTTTTGCTACTTTAATTAGTACACAAAACTCATTTATTACCTTCTTTGTATTATTTTTTTTCAGTCGAAGGTCCTGCATAATATTGCTGTTTTTTTGAAAGTAAAGTGATCGTTGCAAATGTGAGACTTTTTTTTTAAATGTAAGAAAAGTTATTTCTGAAAGTTCATTTCCTTTATCTTTTCTGCATTACAATATTTTGCATGTGGATAAAAGCATTCATGAAGCTAGATGTTACTTTGAACAAGGAATAAATTTTGTAAAGTAACAGACTGCAATTCACAGGTATTGGATGCTGTCCTTCAATCGGTCATTTTTTCCATCAGTGTTTTTTTCGTTCCGTTTGGCTGAAAACATCAGCAATTTTTTAATTTAAAAGGGTGACAAAGAAAAATTCTGGTGGCTCATGCGTGCCGTGAAGTAATTTGATTCTTTGCCTTCGTCTCATGCGGTAGTTTGATTGCCCTTCAACTTCTCTTCGAAACATATATTTTCAAGAGAAGTACATTTCATTTTGACCGCTTACACTTTTTTTTTTAGTTAATTTGAAAAAACATAATAAAACTTACTTTCCGAACTTGGTTCAGTCGTATTAACTCCAGCGCGGATATCCCGTTTCATCCATGGAAGCTGTAAAGAATAGGACTAATAAACGTCTGATATGCTTGAAGTGTTTTTTTTTCCACAATTTTGCATTAATTTATTCCAATATATGAAAAACTTGCAGAGTTGTTTATTCCTCATCTTCGATTAATTCTGGTGCTATGGAAAGTAAGAATTACTAATTAAAAGTGATGTAAATATTTTTGAGGCTAATATTGAAGAATTTGAAAAGACAAATAATTAAATCCCAATTACATTACTCCAAAATGAAATGAAGCGATAACATCAATTTAGCAGGGCATATTTCTCTTCAGGAGATTAAAATTTCATGTCGGAAGATAGAAAGCTTTTGAATGAATGACACGAAACAAGAAATGATATTTTTGGAATTGGAGCAAATTTTATCATATCAATAGAACAATTCCTGGAGTATATACATTGTGAATTGAAATTTTGTGAAAATAAAACGAAAAGAAAGATTCATTCATTGTTAAGTAGTAATATCGGATGACTCTAAACAGTTGTGATCTTTTACTTCCTACAGAATGATCCTTTTATTCTTTATAGAAAAAAACAGCGTAAACAACTATGGATACTGGAAGAGTATTGACAATATTGGATGAAAGAAATGATTAAATACATAATTTAAAGGTTTAATTTCAGATCATTTATTGATCCTAGAATTCAAGATTTAACTTAAAATCATCAATGATCCTGGAAATTAAAGCAATAGATTTGTCAAAAAAGGAATACCAAAAATGATTGTTTGAAGTGTTGTTCTTTTTTAAAATTTGTTTCTCTTTTTTGGCGCATTTTATTACCCAAATTAATTGCCGTCTCATTTTTTTCATCCTTATCATCTTCCTCACTGCTGCTACTACTGTGTTTTCTATCTTTCTTTTCTCCCATCCTCTGTTCTCGTTCATGTTCTGTAAAGTTTACCATTATTACTTACTTACAACTGCCATTTTATTTCAAACATTAATTATGATTACTTACGTCAATTTCCATCTTAAAGTAATTAGCATACGAATTTTCAAAATATCGATGCATATATAGAAATGTCTCAACAGGGGATGCGTGGAGTGAAATCAGTCGAAAATTCGAGTCAATACTAATTAATTAAGCTTTATACCATGGTTTTTCTCTCTTCTGCGTCCGTCTTCATCATCATTTTCTGCAAAATCTGTAGTTAATCATGGACAGTCATATTTCCACTTATAATTCAATATTTGCAAAATGAAAAACAAAAAAAAAAAGTTGTACTTGAGGAGGACGAAGTAATTTCTGATGAATCACCACGATCAGTTGTCTTTTTTCGGCTACTCTTACTACGTCCTGCATCTATTTGCAATAGTAATACACCAATTATTAATGCGACAACAATTACTTTGATATTCATCGTTATACGTTTCACTGCAAATACTCACTTTCTGATTAAATTTTGGTAAATTACTTCAATCCTGCAAAACTTGTCATTTTCTAAAAAGAACTAATAAATAATGAGTGGAGAAGTTACTACGAGGCTGTTTTTCATAGATATAATGCATGTTTATTTATTTATCATAAGTTAGAAAGGATATTTATAATAACTTTTGAAAGATAATGTAAAATTTGAAAACAACAATAAAGTAAAATAAATAGAAAGAAATTTTAAAAATTTCAGGTATTGCTCCCATTGAAAGTTGGCGATGTAAGAAATAACAATCACTTACACAGGACACTTTTTCATGAGAACGTAAGTTTGTGATAATAAATAATGGCTGAAGTTAAAAACAATGTGAACTCAAAAATTAATTTATTACTAGCTAATAGAAAAAGGAAAATTCATTTAACATTATATAAGATATTGTTATATATACAAAAAGATTAACAAAAAAAGAAAAATAATGATTTATTTAGAGAATGATAAGCAAGAAAAAGAAATAATTTTAAAATTTTATTATTGTATTTCTATTTAAGCCATCTTGATCTCATTAAACTAGAATAACAAAATTATATTGATATTTCATTATTTATGGTTTATTCAAGTTATTTTTCGAAAACTTACCTGTTTCTTTGACATATTTGATTTTAATATTGATGAAAATACCTCTTCAAGGACATTTATTCGGTAAAATGTGTTTTATTAACAAAACATTCATAGTAAATTAGCATTGTGAATTTATATTCAAACACAAACTGCACTTTTAAAAAGATATTATTATGAAATATGATAAATATTCGATGGACCCAATCAACTGATGCTATTATCATCCAAAATTTTGATCGAAGCAGTAAAACAAATGAAAACATAAACAGGTAAGATTACTAACATAGTTTGCGTATTACTTAGCTTAAAGGATAAATGAAAATAGATTCAGCTCTAGAAAAGCAGCTGTTTCGATCAAAATTGAACGAAAACTATCGGTTTTGCAAAATGAAGCAACAAAGAGTACTAATAAATTGCCTTGAAATCGCAGCCCCAACGAAGAACGATAAGTAACGAACAATGATAAATTACAATTGCTATGATATATATATACACACACACATACACACATACACACACACACACACANNNACACACACACACACACACACACACACATACACATACATACATACACACACATACATACACACACACATATACACACATACACACACATATACAGACATACACACATACACCATTCCACCGCTATCCTTCTTTAGCAGGTATGTTTGAAGTTGGATTTTTCAAACATTTATTGTTTTAAATCTTCCACCAATGTCATATGTAACGGAAAGACTGGCCCAGATGACGTTCTACCTTAAATTCATGCTAGCAACCCATCTTTGCGTTCTTTTTTCGATAAAATTCTACCAACATTGTATCCCCAATGCAAAAGCTGAAAATTCACAATAGAAATGCTTAAGCTCTGTCCTTTTGTGTGAAATTGACTAGTCATAATTAACACAGACCTTAGCATACTTTGCTTTTTCTGCCGATCCCAATTCCATTCAGGAATATTTCTTGAGTTTTATTTTTTTCGGAGGATAAAAGTCTCCATTATATTATTGTATACTTCATTTCATCAAATAAGTTTTTTTATTTATCGCACAATGCACGCATTGCTTTATTCTCTGCTAGAATGTCTTCTTGTGTGTCAGTTTGGTTTTTATTTCTACAACATTTCAAAGTTTCCATTGTGAAATATAGAAAATATCACAAAAACAAACATTACACATAATTCCTCACACTGTGAGTGAATCATATATTCACATCAAAAAAAAAAAAATGAAAAACTGGAGCTCGCTCAGTTTTATTTTCTAAAACAAGGCGATTTCTTCCACATATAGCCCGGACCCAATTTTTTTGAGTAAGACGGTAGAACATAAAGTCTTAAAATTTGTAAATTAAATTTCCTACTTTCAGTCTAAATAATTCATTTCCATGGACAACCAAAAATAAGAGATCTTGGTAACTGAAGCTTATAGCTCTTTCTTCGTTTCTATATTATTCCGAACTGTTTCAGTCGAGCTTTGTAGGTCTTTATCATCAGGCGGTTTCGCATCCATCAACTGCTTTTGCGATTCTTTTTCACCAACTGGATCTTCCAACGAAACACCAAATTCATTAACTCGCGTTGGATCAACTCGATAAATCCACCTTTGATAAATATATATCTAAAGCGATTAAGCAATATGAATATAAATGTCGGATAAATATTTCTGCATAGATCAAATGTAAAAAACAACGGCAAAACAAAGGATTGGAAGGTTAGAAAATCAATTCAACCACGGAATGCAAATTAGCATATTTCATCTATAGTCCAAATGAATTCAAATTAATTTGCTTAGGAAGATCTAAAAAAATTCAACACTGAATGTTTGTAAATAATTCAAACGATTTATTTGTTATTAAAAAGTTGGCAACTAACCAAAAACACAATATCATCTCGGAAACATCCTAAACGATACATTGTTGGCATTCTGATGACAAATGCAAAGAGATCATCGATGAACGTATTGATGAATTTGTATGTTAACATGCGCCAAGGTAAATGAGCCACAGATTTTAGTTTATAATTTATAAAAAGCTGAAATATTCAACATGTGTTTCATTTTCCTTCACAGCTACTAAATTATGTGTAATTTAGGAATACATATCAAATAATGTTTCGCAAAAAAAGGTAAATTTTTGACCGCACTAAAAGCCAACCTGTGGTGTCATCATAATAAATCCAAATGTAAGTAAAAAACTATACAGCATGCTCAGTATCCAACTATACCACCCACGCTGTTCGACATACATAAGGGAGTACACTGCATAGCCACCAAGCAGTGGAAATAGCACCCATGATAGATATTTGAAGGCTAACTAAAATTATATCATAAAAAATTCAATGGCGCAGCATAAGAATGCAACAAATTTATTACAGCAAATTTTCGAGAATTTTTGCAAGTAAAATAAAAATTTAATTTTCCGCCTAAAAAATATTCTAAATCTTCACTTCAACAAAATTATCACTAAGAATAAAGTTACATATATCACCAAAAAAGGGAGCATAACTATGATTACCGTAATAAACCGAAATTACATAAACTAACCTGATCATATTGTTTTGTGTCTGATTCAACATATGATCCCTTATCAGTAAACGTGACTTTTGGCAAGAACCCAAATAGTTTTTGAGTTCGATCAATCTTAATTTCAAAAACATATAGTCAATCTCAATTAATTAAGGGAAGCATAATATAGACTGACTGCGAGCATATATGTATGTATATTACATTATCAGTTCAAATTTTAGAACAAAAAAAGACAACGGTTTCAAAAACATGTTGGCTGTAAACTACAACGTTGGAAATCTTACATTTATATTGACGCATTTTGGTATTTTCCACAATTCAATCACTAAACCAACTCCAACAGACATTTTGATAATCCATGAAGTATCGTTGTCGCAGATATACAAGAAAACGATAACTGATTGGAACACACTGAATAAAACGGAGCGAACAGATAAGCCCTGTAAAAGAACATTAAAAAAAACTATTTTAAAAGAATTTAAGAATTCCGAATAGAAAATTCTTACATACCTCCAAGCTTTTTCTTGATCTCCAAAACTGGATGTCATTTTTGAAAGCCAAAAACTCGAAAACGGTGTGCAACAATGAAACAGTAATTGTCAGTCCTGGAAATACGGGAATTTTCTGCAAATGATTTCCACCAAAGATGATTTATCAACAAAGTAACGATATGGCTAACCAAGTAATATTGGACTTGTCTCCAGAAGTGCTTGTTTGATTGAATCTTGATCATCATCCCCATTCTCAAATAATTCTCCACCGAACATATGTGACCATTTCCCACGCATCTAAATGAAATCAAGCTGTAAAAAGTATTAAGAATTAAATTCGAGAAAAAAATATTGCACCAAAAAGAGATGGAATGTAGGCTGAAGGACTGACGCACAAAACGACTGCAGTTTTGAACGCTAATTGTTCACCATACTTGTTCTAGCGCTTTATGCAAGCCAAACAAAAATTTCTGAGTGGCTGAATAAAAAAAGCGCAGAAACCTATTTTGAAAACTTTATGTCATATACGAACCAACCTGTTGCGATGCATATAGCTGCCATTTGAACAATGATATTGGGGCATACCGGATAGATAGCTTTAATTCTTGGACTGAACTATTTAATAACATGTAATCGGCTGCCAAGTTCCAGTAGTCATTGAAAAAGAATATGGGCTTGTAAGTATTATCAATCGGGTCAAACTTTACAGCTTCATCAAGAGGAGATGGTAACGAACCTGCAAAATAAATCGGTTTAATTTAATAATGAAACAATCCACAGGAAGCAAGACAACAATTTGACTATTTTTACTTATAAAAAATTTCATGCAAACTCCTATTAAATTATGAATTCTCTTCAATGACTGAAAAGTGTTCAAAACGGCACCTCTTTGCCATGCCGTCTGATCATCAACAAGATTAATCGTTAAATTTGGGTGCCAATAATTGAGTACTTCAAAACTCATCACTTCAGCCTTCTTTTGTTCTTCCTCGGTTTGCTCCGTCTTACCGGTAAGCAAATTTTGTGTTTTTTTGTAATATTTCTTCTTGTATTTGTTAAGTTGTCGTACATTATATAAAACCTAAAAATAATGAACAATGAAACTACTACTGGCTACAAATTTTCAATAAAAACATATAATATTCCAAATATTTCATAATAATACATGAACTTTAATCGTAAAATGATAAAATAAGCTCAGATACTTGATTAGATCTACTATTACTAAAATCAAAAGTAACCTCTCTTTTAACATGATGCCGACTTCGACGATCAGGTGACTGATCTTTCTTTACAATGAATACATGTATGTATAACGAGCCATTATTAGCAAGCGATTTGGGAGTGGGAAATGTAGCTGATTTAGTACGGGAACCATCACCATCTGGACCAGATGTCCAATCACTGTATATTATATCAGTTTCTTTCCAAAATAATGCACTTTCGTCATCAAATTTATCAAAGTGATCCTGCTGAAAATCTTCCAGACTTAACATTATAAAATACAAAACCAATTATGGACGGACTCCATAATAAGATTAAATAAGCGAATTCGTATTTTTAGAATAACTAAATGTAATGAAAAAAGAATTTTTTAAAAGAAAAAAACGAACAAACATCAAGTTTACACTTAAAACAAACCGAATCGGAGAGGTATATATAAAGGTCAAACTTCTGTCCTGGTTGGAAAAGATTTCGCGATGGTAAAGCGGCGCCTATGTTCAACGCTCCCGTATTATTATGACCAACATCGTCTGGCCGTCCACTCATAAAATCTTAAACAAGAATATTGTCACTATTTGAAATATTATAACTGACATATAACCAAGAAAATCTAAGATTTAAAATATTTAGATTTAAGGATTTAAAACTACTTTTTAAAAGTGACGTCACAAAGTAAACAATCACAATACGGTACAGCATTCCCTTGATAAATGTCCATGTGTCAAATCCCTGAAATATAAATCGAAGATATATGGATTTCCATTTCTTTATTTCTCTTTCATGTTTTGGTTCTACTGCTTTCAAAGACAGAAATTAATGAAAACAGATGATTAATACGGTTATACTGTTTTAAAAAAAAAGTACCCGTTGCTGTTCCGGATTAGCTAAACCTTGTTCACCGATCCCAACAACTCCATCACCATTGATTTCGTTGTTTCCGGGCATAATTTACAACCTTAAGAGAGAGATTCAATGCATAGCATAAAGGAATGAATTAAAGAATTTGGAAAATATTTTCTTAATTTCTTCAAGAAAAAATTATGTGGATTTTTCCATCCATCCTTAAATCTTCCTAATCGTTTTTCATCCATTCTTGAATTTGAAGTCTTCAGGATCATCAGAGCATCATAATCCTTACAACTATGATTCACCAATTTTTTCATTTTTCAAGATAAAATACGGGGTCAACAAAGTTTAAATATCGTATAATTGCTTTCTCAATCTTAAAATGAGAATACCGCAGAAGAAGTTACATAAGATAGAAAAGGACAAAAATTGATACCATCGACGAGAAAGTGTCTCATAAGGGATTGAGAAAAAGTGTAAAGAGTAGCATGCAACTGTTGTAGCAGAGAATGAGAGCTCTCCAATTGTCAAACGCTGAAATGAAAAAAGAGAGATAGGGAGAGAGAGAGGGAGAGAGAGAGAGAGAGAGACAGAAATTGAAAAACTTATCGTGCAAATTTCATTACAACTTTCACCACCTTTCTTCCTTTTGCTGTCAATGAATCAACAACGTTTGCATCGTCATATCCGATAAACTCTAATAATGAAGGGACACGATGCAAATTTTGAATCCCACCGAAATTATACTGAAACACAATTAGGATATATTTATTTTCTGTAAAAAGAAGAGAAAGAAAATATTCCGTCAAACTTTTAGCTATTTATCATTAATTAGATTTCTATATGAATATGTGTCATTACTGAAATCCTTCACTAAATTGTCATTCTGAAGTTGGAATAATTAAAATTTCTATTATCATTAATTCTATCGAAGTTTTTTCCGTTTCAAATAATTATTATTAAATGAGGTTGGAATTTTGAAGGTTTAATTTCGAGCGTTAATTGCTGAAATTGATAGAAGTAAATTCAATGCAAATGGTATAAAATGAGAGGTATGAAATGGGAAATGTGAAGGCTAAAGTACTTGAAGTTGATTAATTAATGTAACTTTTCTGTCAATATTTTTAGAATGAATCACATAAATGTTGTAATATCACCAAATTACATTCATTATTTGATCTAATTGGATCATCAAATTGTCACTAATTTAATATTGCCCTCATTAATTCCATTGATTACTGTAACCTGAGAGGGAAAGTATGATAACAATTTGTTAAGTGATAAGATTTCATAATGATATGCTATCAAAAATGTTTTGATCATAAAACTTACAAAATGATATCTGAGTAAGGATAACTTTCTTGAATTCATAAATAAAATGTTTGGGATAATTGTAGTGAAAATGGAAATAGTAGATGGAAGTTCTGTTGTAAATTTAATCACTTCTCAAGAATAATTTATTGGAAATATCACATCATCACAAGGTTCAATGTAAGAAAAATGTATAACTGTATTGTAACAAATGTTTCGAGCATTGATCAATTAATTTAATTTATCTTGGTAATTATGAGTGCCAATTGTAAAAAAAAAAATGGTGAATTTTAAGCAAAGAAAAAAATTCGCTAACTGTTTAGATCATAAATAATCAAATAAAACAAATGCTTTATGCACTTCATTAAATTTCATTACCGACGACAATTAAAAAACATTTCACATATCGCCTAATTCTTTCTAGTCTGATACTTCGATAATCTTATAGCAAATTATATGATAAAAACAAATTTAATTTTTTTTTTACAATTTAATTTTATTAAATTCTATAGAAATTTTTTTAGAATTGTTTGCAACTATCAAACAGCAAAATTTGAAGACTTCACTCATTTCTTATCAATTATTCAGTGTATAATTGGAAGTAGGTCTTATTTCAGATGTTTAATGGAATGGATATTGTAACATAAGATCATGAAATTGGCTTGAAAAAGATTAGTTAATTAAACCAATCGAGCTTTTTTTTAATTACAATTTAAACTAAACAGGTATTAAAGAAGAAATATTTTGCATTATAATTTCTTCTAAATATCTTTTGTAGATGCAAAATAAGCGACCTAACTGACTGACATACTTTTGTAAAAAAAAATTCTTCGCAGCATTCCATTCATTTATGATTGAGCACAAAATCCGTTCGTAAAAAAATACAGTAATTCGATGTATTAAACAGTAGCACTTCGAATTTCATTCCCTAATAATGATTTGCATAAGGAGAGATAAGCAATATTCCAAATGGTTGAAATATCACTGAATATATTGAAATATACCGTGACAAACTGGTCGATGTAATGATTTAATTTTCGTTATATCAGCTGAATTTACAATTTGTCGCACACTAAGCACCTTCAATTTCGATATCAACGATTCTGGCTTCCGTACTGATATTTATTAGCAAGAAAATAGTTCAGAAATTTCTAATAGTTTTCCCCAATAAATAAAAGCAAAAAATTATAACTAAAAAATTTTGTTCAAAATATTTTATTGTTAACATAACTCGCTTTACAAGCATTTTATCTTTATAAATTTTCTTCAAGAAATCGATATTCTTCACTTTTCCTGCATGATATGTTTCTTTTATAACATGTTTGCTTGTGGTCGAAGCTTATTGTTGTATCAATTCTAAAAATGCTGACAAGTGTGAATGCTGTTCTGAATTAATTGCAATAAGCTGAAGCTAAAATAAATGGTCCGTGAACCTTACTTTTCACACATATATCCATTGGTGTTTTAATTTTTTGTCCTAATCATTACTGAAAACTAATTATTCATCATCGAGCTTTCATTTAACTTTCTAATTCTCAGTAATACAATGATTATAGCAATATCAAAGATAACAATTCAGTCATTTCGAAATGTAATTGAATATATTTTTTGAAATAAGCAGATAGTATTGTAATGTGTCAACATGCAAGAATTGTTAGATGAATCAAATAAAGTGTTATCACTAACACTTTTATACTGTATATGGTCAGTTCTTGACCTTATAACCTCTTTCATGTCTTTATGTTTAATTTTGAGAGATAAATTTGTGTGTAACTTCTATAATAAGGAAAATAAAAATTTCAGATACTCATAAATAATCATGTGGTTGATTTCATCCTATATTATATTTACATAATTAAAACAACATGTATTACTTTTAATAATCATCAAGCAATGCCTTATTCGACAAAGCTTATGGACAAATGAAGATTTTTATAATTTAAGTTAGTGCTTTTATTGCTTTTATTAACAAATTTTATACTTTCAGGTTATGAAATTACAGATTTCAATATATTTTAGAACATATAATTAATTGAGTTTGTCACGCACAAAAAAGGAAAACATAGATTCTTTAATACTTCTAGAAGAAAGGAATTCATTGTGATACAAATATTCTCTAAAACGGTACTCTAAGACTTCTTCTATTGTAAACTTTTTCCACACATTTTTGAGTTATTAAAAATATTATTAAAAATCCCGAAGCTTGAATTTTGAAAAGTTATGAATTAATTGAATTATTTTGTTGCAATTTTGAATAAACAATTATTAATTTAGCTGTTATTTCGTCTCATTTATAAAGCCTTCCTTACAGGCGGTCAATATAACTGTTGATGACTATCACTCTCCTATGATTAAATTATCATTACTGTAAAATCAAATGAAGTTGAGAATTTGAGTAACATCGATGCCAATTAAAAGCATTTTGTAAAATACAGTTAATTGATTGTATCAGGAATGTAAGCAAGAAGAATATTTGAAGAGTCTCTTGGAAATTTGAGAATTGATTCTGTAAAATTTTAGATATCATTGCATTACTCTCAATAGTAATTCATTTTGATCGCCAGTAAATAAATTATTTTGATTGATTTTCATGATTTTTTTCTATATCTGATCAAAACTGTAGAAAATAAACGTCCCATACAAATGAAATTACAGAAGGCTAATTTTTGCTTTTTACCGCAAACTCACATCAATTCAAGATGACAACGTTTAAATGGACTTAAGCTTATCATCTGAAGCTGAGAGCTTATTACAGATAAAAGCTACAATACAATGCAAAATAATTTAATAAATAAAAGTGCCATGAATTTCTTAATGTTTTCTGGAAAATGCTAAGTATTTCTATCAATTGTTAGAGTAACTAACAAACATTTCCACAGGAAGAAAAATGAGATCCAATATATCTTTAGAAGTTATAAATGATTTACTAAAGTGGATTTTTTTTTTAATCAAATTCTCCAAAAATTTTTGCTAACTTTAACGATAAAAATCTATGCTGAACTTGTCGCACATTTGTTTTGTCAGTATTTGATTTCCAAACTGATAGCATTTTGTTCTATCTCTTTTTCTCTTTTTTTCTCCTTGAGAATTCATCACGATGACAACAAATTCAATGAATTGATAAATTAGATATAAGGAACAATGCTTAATTCATATCCATCATTCGCAATCTGTTAAAATCTTAAGTTAATTTTGAAACTCGTGTCGTATTCCTTACGGATTTCCGTTTTTCTGCTAGTCAGAAAAACGGAAATTATTGTTATGAAAATGTTGCCAAACTGGTTTCAATAAATATGTTATCTATTTGTTAATGTACTATTGTTAGTCTCGAAAAGAACGTCACAATGAATGATGTCACAGTCATTTTCCAACTCAGATCGATGAAACCAAATATATTTGATCATATTTAGAATTGCTTTAATCTCTAAAATAGACACATTTTTTTTTCAATCAGTTAACTCTTATTTTAATTTAATTGCAATTGAAATGTAATATCTTGAAAAAAAAAATTAATATCCGAAAAGTGCCATAGAATGGACTGATGGATGCAAAAAATGCATGTTAGAGTACAACATAATGATTGTTGGAAAACATTTAAATCATGCTATAATTGTAAATGTTGATTTAAAAATCTCTATGTTTATTAATTGAAAGAATGCATCAATGCTTGTTAAATGGATACTTTAATCTTTGATCCATTTTGGCACGCTCAAAGGCAGTCAACAGTATTGTCGCATTTATCAGATGACCACAATAAATATCAAATACATTCGGATATCAAGCAGAAA